CCGTCTCAAATAAAAGAAGAATGACAGTCACAGTTTTATGAGAACTCAGATTCCCAAAGGAGACCCTTAGGGACACCTCAAAGATTGGAGGACCCCCACTGCAGCGAGAAATAAGCTCCCAGTGCCTCTTGTTACTCTCCTCGCTTCCAGAAACTAACTAAGGGCGCATCTTCCCAGACACCCACCAAGGTCGGAGTGGTAAAACGAAAATAGAAGGCCAGCCATTAGGGGGCTGACCCACCTTCAATCGGCACTTTTGGGTCCTCGGTGAGGGCCCAAAGGCAGGGGGAGGGAGGCTGCTTCGGGGCCAGGAATTCAAAAACCCAACCCTGGCCAAGCATGAGGGAGACTCATTCTCTAAAAAACAAAAAATAAGGCCCAGCGCCGGGATGGCTCCACCCCTCGAAACCCAGCACTTTTGGAGCCGAGGCGGGCAGATTACGTAACAGGGTCAGGAGATGGAGCTACCATCCTGGCTAAACATGGGGTGAAACCCCATCTCTACGTAAAATGACTAGCAAAAAAAATTAGCATGGGCATCGTGGCCGGTGGCGGGGGCACCGTGTAGTCCCACGCTGCTGGCGAAGCTGAGGCGAGCGGAGAATGGCGGGCGGTGGGGTTGTAACCGCGTGGGACGGGGCAGATCGTGGCAATTAGCCCGATGCGGGATCCGCTTGGGCCAGCTGCACGTCCTAGCGCTGGCCGACAGAGCAAGATTCCAAAAAAAAAAAAAAAAAAGAAAGGGAAGGACCAGTGACAGGCGCTGCGTCCAGCCGCACGCGTAGTTTTTAGGGAATCTTTTTGTTTTTTTTTTGTGTTTGTTTTAAGACGAGTCTCGTGCTGTTGCTCCCAGGCTGGCAGGCAGTGGTGTGGATTCCGGCCTCACTGCAAGCCTCCGCCTTCCCCGGGTCACTTGCCATTCTCGGCCCGGCCTCACCTTCCGCATAGGTGAGCAGAGACTACAGGGCACTCCGCCACCACGCCGGCGGCCGGGCTAGTTTTTTTGGTATTTTTGAGTAGAGACGGGCGGGTTTTCCCACCATTGTTTAGCAGGATGGCCTCCGATCCTCCTTGAGCCTGAGAGTTTTGCTCTTGTTGCCCAGGCTGGAGTGCGATGGCATGATCTTGGCTCACTGCAACCTCTGCCTCCCGAGTTCAAGCGATTCTCCTGCCTCAGCCTCCCGAGTATCTGGGGTTACAAGCATGCGCCATCACCCCTGGCTAATTTTGTATTTTTAGTAGAGACGGTATTTCACCATGTTGGTCAGGCTGGTCTCAAACTCCTGACCTCAAGTGATCCACCCGCCTCGGCCTCCCAGAGTGCTGGGATTACAGGCGTGAGCCACCACACTCGGCCTGAACCCTCATTCTTGAAAAGCACGTACATACCTTCATTTTGATACAGTGGGTTATTAGAAAAGTAAACCCCTTTCCACTTGGAGGAGGTAGAGGGGAAGAAAAATCATACCCCAAAGCTCTGTTTTATTCTTCCCAGCGGTGCCAAAGGTCAAGCTGCTGTGTGGGGCAGATTTATTGGAGTCCTTTGCTGTTCCCAATTTGTGGAAGAGTGAAGATATCACCCAAATCGTGGCCAACTATGGGCTCATATGTGTTACTCGGGCTGGAAATGATGCTCAGAAATTTATCTATGAATCGGATGTGCTGTGGAAACACCGGAGCAACATTCACGTGGTGAATGAATGGATCACTAATGACATCTCATCCACAAAAATCCGGAGAGCCCTCAGAAGGGGCCAGAGCATTCGCTACTTAGTACCAGATCTTGTCCAAGAATACATTGAAAAGCATAATTTGTACAGCTCTGAGAGTGAAGACAGGAATGCTGGGGTCATCCTGGCCCCTTTGCAGAGAAACACTGCAGAAGCTAAGACATAGGAATTCTACAGCATGATATTTTGTACTTCCCATTTGGGGATCTGAAACGATCTGGGTGTTACTAACTGGGGAAAGAAGTTGTGATCTGTTGCCTAAACTAAAGCTTAAAAGTTTAGTAAAAATCATCTGGGCGCAGTGGCTAACGCCTGTAATCCCAGCAGTTTGGGAGGCCGAGGCGGGTGGATCACAGGGTCAAGAGATAGAGACCATCCTGGCCACAATATGGTGAAACCGCATCTCTACTAAAAATACAAAAATTAGCTGTGTGTGGTGGCATGTGCCTGTAGTCCCAGCTATTTGGGAGCTGAGGCAGGAGAATCGTTGACCCCAGTTGGTGGAGTTTGCATGTGAGCTGAGATTGCACCACTGCACTCCAAGCCTGGGGTGACAGGCAAGACTGCCGTCTCAAAAAAATCAAAAGTAGTAATTAATTCTCAATGGTATAATTAATAATATTAGTGTTTTTTGTAGTGTGTTAGAGTTGTGTAGCTCTACATAAAATACAAGTAAGAATTAGCTGTATTGCAGTTGGTGCCGTTCATGACGTTAATCCCTGCTTACCTTGGAGCTGAGAGGTAGATTCACTTTTTGAACTTCGGCGGTATGTGAGTCATAATGGTTCCAGAGTCTCAATGATGGTTAAGCCACTGCACTTCAGCCTTGTGGCAATGTAAGAGTCAATAATTACTCCATCTCATAAAAAAAAAAAAAAGTCCTGAGATTGTGTGGCTCACACTTGTAATCCCAGCACTTGGGAGCCCAATGCAGGAGGGATCACGTATGAGGTCAATGAGTCAAGATTAAGGCCTGGGCCCAATACTGGTGAAAATCGTCATCCTACTTAGAACACAGAATAAAATTTGGGCCGGGGGCGCGTGGTGGGCTCAAGCCTGTAAGCCCATGCACTTGTGGCTGTTTGGCTGATTGTTCCGGGCGGATCACGAGGGTGCGAGGAATCAGGACCATTGCCGTGGGCTAAGCATGCGTGAAACCCCTATTCTCTACTAAATAATAGATAAAAAAAAAATCTAGCCTTTGGCGATTTTTGTCTTTGTTTTCCGTTTGTTTTCCGTGGCGGGCGGCTTTAGCCCAGCTATCGGTGAGGGAGGGCAGGAGAATGGCGTGAACCGGGGAGGCGGAACTTGCAGTGAGCTGCTGATTTCTGGCCTAGTGCACTCCAGCGCTGTGGTGACAGAGCATAGCGCCGCTCAAAAAAAAAAAAAAAAGTAACACAAAAATATAGTCTGGCATCGTGGTGGCCCCTGTAATCCAGCTACTGGAGGCTGAGGCAGGAGAATTGTTTGAACCTGGAGGCAGTAATGTTGCAGTGAATGCCGAAGATCATGCGCCTTGCCACGTCGTAGGTGCGCTGAACTCCGATCTTAAAAAAAAAAAAAAAAAAAAGCCTGACAGCGAGCAGGTTTCAGGATCCATCTGCCAAGTCAGTGAAAGGCTGGAGCCTCAAATCCTGCAGATGAGGGTCATTTTCTCCTTAGCTTCTTGGAGTTTCAGAGTTGAAGGATCCCTGAAAAGTCATGACAGAGCAAGATGAAGCTATCAGAACTGAATTTGGACTTCCTCTGGGAAACTATACCTCATTCATCTGAAGTGTCATGTAAACTGCAGAAAGGTTCCAATGCTGGAAACTTCTCTCGTGCTGTCGTGCCTTCCTACTTAGAAGTGCCTGTGCCCTGCTCAGCTGTGAAGGCTCAAGCGCTTCTCCCGCCCTCCAGGCCGTCCCCAAGC